ATTTTTAAGAAAATTTAGAATATTGCACAATGACATTGTCAAAAGACTGTGGTGTACAAAGACGAGGTTTTACTGATTGTTTGCACTAATTGTACCGTTAGTGTACTTCAACATGCTAGAGTTTTCGACTTCGCGCCGAAGGGCTGTAAAGAGCGTATGGACGTTAGCCGAGGCTCTTACTTGTAGGAGTATTGTTGCTGTAAATATTGACCAAGATGTCCACAACATCTATAGTCGCCAAAGCCAAACAAGGCATTACAAAATGGAGAGAGAGAATAACGTCAATACCAGCGCTAGCAATGAGGAGGACATGCATAATACTACTACACACAGCACAAACGGTATGTCATCTTGTATGCCTACATCAATTATTAGTATAATGATTTCACTGTTGTATCAATTACATTTTTAAAAAATGCACAAGAAAATACTAAATGTTCAGTTAATCGATCATTCTGTTAAAATCAGTGGGAAAAGGCAAAGAATAAGCTAGTCATTACAATTGGTTTTATTGTATTTAGTAGACTCTAAATTTAAGCACACCCCCTTCAACCACAGAGTTTAGAGCAATATAAATATAATTATGCACACGTTAAGATTGGGTTCCATAAAACTCCCATTGACTTGAATTAATTTAACCTCATACTCTTAAGATCACGCACTCGGCATCGTCGGTCATTGTTCCGATGTTGTAAGCGCCCGAGTATATACTTCATGGAGCCTTAATGCTATCAATATATGAGGCTATAATAATAAGACTTATTTATCTATTCACCAATCAATGAGCTTTGAAAGGGGGGCATATATATATATATAATTTATAAAAACAATACAATTACGTTTATAGCAAGTAATGGCTGCATTACGTGCAATATTAACCTGATCCTCACTTGTAATATTTAACTGTCCTCGCTAGCATCCCTCATACAATTGAAAGACTAGTGTTTTGATGCCAAATATCGTTACTTATTGTGTATATATGTGCACATTGTTATAAAATATGTATTTTAAGCTTGTTCTCCCTTCGATTAACATCTTCGTGTCCGTCCTCAACAAATCAGCAACCCCGGCCTGGGGAAACACTTTTTGAAACAGAAAACCTTAAATTTCGTTACTCCTAGGCATTCAATTAATAAACATCGGTCATTCTTAAGTAAATATTAAACTACTTCCAATATTTATGCATGTCATGTTCCACCAAAGCAAGAATTAGGCGATGAGTTGAGAAATGGTTTTAATTTAATTTAGGGCGCATGGAGTGAAGAGCAAATTAATTAATTAATTAATTGAAATTAATTTCAGTAGATCTGTATCAAGACAAATTCAGTATATGTTGCTGAGTGAAATAGCTATGGGCGAATGGCTGTTCCTTTTTCCTTAACACCTCTATCAAAACTAGGCCTATAAATCATGGAGGGGGATCAATATCCACATAACAATAAACCCAAAAAATTTATAGATTGAGGGCCATAATCGGTATGATAGCACCATTGATAAAATCTTTACCTGGCAAAATGGATACAAAAAATCGTTTTTAGACTATTGTCTAGAAAACCAGATGATTTTTTGCTTACTTGGCTTCGAATAACTACTATGTCAAACGTCTTCCATTTGTTGTTATACATCGTCACAAATAAATAAATAAATAAAGTGATTAATAAATTAATTAAACACAAATGAAATATTATCTTTTTTCAATGGGTCGTCAGGTCACAACCTGGTTCGAAATATGAAACGCATTTATTTATCTTGATGTCTTTCTGTTTTGCAAGTTCAGCTCACGCCAACATTTGCTCAAAATTGATGACACGTTTGGCGATTTTGGTCAGCATTGGGAATTCTTCAATGCGTTGAACATTTGTTCCCGTCACAAAAATTAATTCATCTGGGTTTGGAAATTGATACATGTCAAGTTTGTATTCTGACGAAAAGCTAATTAAACCTAAGATTTTGCTGATAGGAAGGGCCAATAAATCTTAAAAGTCACTTCAAATGAAATGCAATTCTTTCAGTGCCGTCTTACCGCGCTGTTACCAGCGTTCCCACGATGCAATGATTGGCATAAAAAATGCAGCAACTTTTCATTTGTATAAAGACCATTTGTTTTTATGTCATTTAAATTTTGAATCACTTTATATTTATTTCTTTACGATATGGCTGATTAAGCAGTAATATTCTTTAGCTGAGCATGGTAAGCGCAGACGGAAGGCATACTGGCTGCGGGAAAGCAAGCATATGGTTATACACCTATAATTGTAGTAAAGTTATTTTGGTTACGATTAGATCACACAACGTTATAAACAGACGTCAAAATATGTAAGATCTATACAATTTGATTTGATGTTTAGTATATTTAGAAATGACATACACGTTTTTAGATTTTACCTTATTAAATTGAGATCTCCATCTTAGAATTACTTGATCACACTTCACATGTTATCATCACGGAAGTACTATTTCATTTATCAACATTACTTGCATATACAGTGTAAAATTTTAC